TTCTACTTCCCTTGGCTCAACTCTAACTAAGCTCAGAACAGTCAAAGCTGAGGATGGCGCTTATTCCATTTCTAGCCAAACAGCTGAATTATTTTAGGTTTGCTTGCATTGTTATTGATGAATTTCCGAACGCCTTACTAGAAGCATTCCGCTTCAGGTGGGACAACACTTACGGCTCACGCAGTAGCTATCAAAAATGGGATGATTCCCCAGCAGTAAGGAGCATGTTTCTCCGTGAAGAGGGAGGAAAATGTAAAGTTCCAACACATTTCTCCTATGAAGAATGGGATTGTACCGCCTTATTTCAGTCTACAATTTATTCGCGCTCCTTCAGTTTTCCCGACAGCAAAGGCATGAAAAGGACACTCGGAGATTTGTATTTGAAGCACCATAACTTAACCAGTGGAAGTTTCCATACTTCGATGATAAGCCCGACAGGAGATGATGCTGAGGTATTTTCTCTTGCAATCGATCAATTACGACTGCTTAGGAACGCCTTATGTCACTCTCAGCTGTGAGATTGAAAAAAAAAAAAAAAAACATTTGATCAATGGGTGAAGTATGCGAAGGACGCCTACAAAGCTTTGAATATCAGCACAGGCTCTACTGATACCATTGGCAACTCGACTGACGTGGACTTCCCTACGAAAAAGGTTGAGAAATTAAAGGAAAACGTGAGAATGCTGTTAGTGAGAGAAATCCAGTTTTTTGGAGAAGAAGTAAAAGACGAGTTATGTGTGACATCAAGTATCGCACTAAAGGACCACAAACTAGAAGAAAACATGACAAGAACCGAAAACGAAAGAAAGAAAGAGTTTAATGATCTTACGAATACGTTGGAGGAGTTGAAAGTAGAAATCAGAAAGGAAAGAGGTAAGATTACTTATAAATTGAGGAAAGTTCATAAAGAAAAACCAAAAGTGAAAAGAGAACGTTACATAGAATCGTTGGACTATTTATGGAATTCGTCAGTTAGCGCCGTTTTCTAAGCTTAGCGTTGCGTAATCTCTTAGTCGATCCACGGAAGAAACGTTTTAGAAACAAGCATTATCTTTGCCAGGACATTCCACAAGCTTTTTAGATCTGCTGTGTCTCTCTTTAGGTATCTAAATATTTCATTCGCCTTTCAATCTATTTAAGGTTTCAAAATTTCGTTGCCAAGACCTTCTGGACTGCCTCCAACAGATTCTCACTTCACTGGCCGTCAAAAGACGACTGACGAGATCATTGGTCATCTAGATAGTGAGTTTACTCGAATCGTGTCGATATGGGGGTCGCCAGGCTTTGGAAAAACGTCGAATTCGATCCAAGTTGGGCATCAGATTCCGACAAAAGGAATGCATGTCTATTTCTTTTCTTTGCGAGGACTCCATTCAAAAGCTAAACTCACATCGAAGCTTCTCAGAATGCTACAACGAATCTACTATAAAAGATCATTCACCGAGTGTTATGTCCGCTAAGGACTAACTTTATCAAATATTCCGCCGGATATCTTCGTTCCGTTTCTAATAATCCTAGATGGAGCAGACGAGTTATTTGAAAGTGCGGCTCCAGATACGAAGGAAGAAGTCACAAATCTTCTTCAGGAAATTCACACACGGAACGAAAGGGTTCAACTTCTCATTACCAGCACGGAATCGTTTGAGTTTTTTCTTGAGTGTAACCAGGAGGTACGAATAAAAACCACTCAGTGGATGTTATTTCTTCACAGAAGCTCGCTGACATCCTTCTCCCCAACGCCAGTATCTCTGACAGCATAGGAATCTCAAAACTGTGCAGTCATGTACCATTATAACATAACCAAAGTAAAGCGCGCGCTCTGATTGGTCAATTTAGCGTCCCCCATTTGCCCATGGGTGTACGCTGCTGACGTGAGCAAATGCAAAGACTATTCTTCCGCGCGCGCTTGTTTTTTCTGGTCGCGTAAGATTTGTTAAATAAAAGGGAACTCTTTAGCTACAATGTATCAATGTTATGTTATAAAACAAATGGTAAACACCACAGCGTACACTATTGAGTTATGGATGCACTTGGGAGGTTTGCTAAGCACTCAAGAAGCTAGAGTCGCTCGCGGCTATCGCCTCGAGCGACTCTTACGCTTCTTTCGTGCTTAGCAACCTCCCGTGTGCATCCATAACTCAATAGTGTACGCTGTGGTGTTTACCATGTGTTAATGACGGCCTTTCTATTAGTCAACCCCTAGATGAATTCAGGGCATCTGAAAGCGGTATCGTTGACAGGATTGACAAAGAAGATTGTCCGAGCAAGTTGCGACTCAAACTCCTTTTCGAATCTTCCTACCAGAGACTTCCTATGCAAGAAAAAGAGCATGCAGTATCTTTGTGCATTCTGCACGAGAGCTTTAACCCAAGCGCTGCTGCAGCTGTTATGGGTTTCTCCAGAGTTTTTGAGGCCAGGAAGATATTGCAAACCCTGAAAAAAAATCTCTTATTGACTCAGGAACCAAGCCTTGTTCCTTTTCAATGCATACCCCTTATCCAGTCATTTGCAAAAGTCAAAGGAGATCGAGAAATGCCAGATGTTCTTCTCAACTCAAAATACTGCTTCCACAAATTTTACATTTCGCGCTTTAAAGAGCTTAACACCCGATTTCAGACGGGACATTCTATGTCAGCCTTCAAGAATTTTTATGAAGAAAAAGAAAGTATCTTTGAAAGTCTGGTTGAGGATTGCTCAGATTGTACAACATCAGACATGGAGTTTAACGTTTTGGTGAAGGCAAAGCTGCTCCTAGACTCCCTATTTTGGTTGCTATCGGAGGCGGCTAACTTCAACAAGATTTACAGCTCAGCCATAAACGCTGCGAAGAAGTTTGGTCACTTTTCGTAATCTTGAGATCTATTAATAATCAAAGGAATCCTTACAGATACTTCTACTACAGTAACGAAAGGCCTACATGTTTTGCATCTTTTCTACGGTTAACAACGATTAAAATCTTGGTCATTTTACGGCTAACGGTTAATATCATTTCATTGCTGTCACCAGAACTTTTTTTCACAATTAAATTGTTTAACGACTATTCTTTAAAATGTTTCAATTTTTACGCCTAACGACTTACGCAGTTTAGGATTGAGATGCTTCATGCGACGAGACCAAAACATTCCCATTGTTTTCCTATACTCTTATACTGGACGCCAGGAACAAACTGTGAACCTCCCCTTCTCGCCACTTGGTTAGAAACGACTGCTGTTCAGTTCCAAGACCAGTTCGCATCGAAACGTGTTGAGAAGGTATCTTTCTGGAATGAAGCCTTTAGGGAGTCCTTGTGACCAAACAACTTAGCTCGGTATTTACTAACCGATGCCTTATACTATGCTCATATGACTTTGAATACTTAAGAAAGTTTTCTTAATTTTTTTGTATGTACTTTTGACTTAATTACTAAAAGACGATCGACACTTACAATATCTAATAACCTTCATTGTAATTCGTTGAATAACTTTAGAGATATACAATAGTCCATTTTACAGTTGTGTGCTTAGTTGCCAAGCCTTTGAATGGGAGTGAGGCTAAGGTTGACCTTGTTATGATACAAACCTTGCTGCCTTTCAAATGTAAATCACTTTGTTATCATGCTAAGTAGATACAGGTCTCTATCACAACAAGGTCACCTTCAGCCTCACTCTGAATCAAAGGCTTGGCAACTAAGTACACAACTGTAAAATGGCCTATTGCCTTGAAATACAACTATCTAGTCATTATAGGGGTTTTTATGATCCTGATAAGAAATAACAATAAAACTACATCAAAATCTAAGAATTAGTATCATGAGAAGAGAAAAAAAGAAGAGAAAAAAGAATTAGTATCATGAGAAGAGAAAAAAAATAATTCTATAAAACATATTTAATCAGTAAAAGGTGAGACTTTGCATTAGAACAGGTCTTCTAATCAAGTTAAAAAGACTGACAGGTGTGCAACTTAAATCAAATTATAAATACTTATTCACAGCATCAAAAAATACTTGCTCCTTTGTAAAAGAATGATTACTCTGAGCAAC